CCTAAACCCTAAACCCTACAAACATCCAAGTCCACTAGCGGCACTGGCCCAACCTGTGGGCCAGCTTTCGTTTCCCACAGTCCTGAAGAACTACTGCTCTGTGCCTTGCTCGAAGGTTAACAGCTACATGGTTTTAGGGTTTAGGGTTTAGGGGCTTAATACAGTTTTCTGGCCTTTAACTCTGATTAAGGTTCAGACCTAGAATGCTCGAAATTTCGGTGTTTTAACTGCAGAGCCCTCAAGCACACTCCTTCCTACGAGTCTGCTCGTGAAAACCCTCAAGAGTCATAGTTGGGCACCGAGCCTCCTAGAAACACGTGTCCGGCAGGTTGTGCCAGGGTTCAGGGTTCAGGCTTGCATGGAACCGGAACAAGGTCTGGCCCACGACTAGGCGTTTAACAGTGGGCTCTACATGTTTCGTGATTAGGGCCATATAGAGGTAATGTAGAAGCCCGATGGAATCATGGCAGAATGAGGGTGTCTAGGAATCTGTGTGTCTCGGAGACTCTTTTTGTTTGGAGTTCTTGTCGGTTTAGGGTTCACTATTTACGGACTGGGATTTGTGGATGTTTATCGTGATTAAGGCTTATTGGGCTTCCTGATTCCATCGTGACAGACATGATTTTGTTTGCTGTAGCTGCTGCAGTAGCTGTGTTGATGACTACGAAGAAGCATTTTGAAGTTCTGGGCTCGCAGAGGAACGACTCTTGCAGGTTTGTCTTTCACTCCTAAACCTAAGCCCTAAATCCTAAGCCCGACATGCAAAGCCCGACTTCGGCGTTTTGACGGCATTGAGATCGGCAGTTCTTGTCTGCTCGCCGGACGGCTCAATTTCGAGGGACACGCTCAGCTTCTGCGGTGTTGGAGCGAGGCTGCACATTTAGCGTACGTGCTTCAGCTCAAACTCTGCAAAAGCAGACATCCGAAACCCTGAACCCCCTAAACCAACACACCCCAACTGTTGAAACTGAACTGTGGCTCAACGCGCTCGATCATGCTCGCTCATCTTTCAGACCCTGTAAAGCTTTGTGAACCCCCTACAGATGCATCGGATCTGACGGCGTGTAGCCCACTGCTGCAACAGCCAACAGCCAGATGCCGACTCAACCTGCCCACTGCCACGAGCAGCCTGCGAGGTGGGATGATTAGGATGGTCTCATCCGTGCCAAGCTCCATTATCGTAGTGAACGTCATGTCAATCTTCTGTCCCGAACAGCCACTATGCACCGCTACTGCGAAGGCTGCTGCTGCTGCTGCTGCTG